TAAGTAAATGTTATTTAATTGATTAATGCTTTTTATTGCTTCATTTAATCATTCTGAATACTTATAATACTTAAATATTTGAAAGCATCTATAAAATAACAATAACACATTTATTTATTTATAAATATTTTATACTAGTACAATGTCATAAGTCAATATTTTAAATTAGTAAAACTACAAAAACAAATAAAGTAACAAATTCGTTCATTTAAAATGTATTTGCTTGAATGTCAAATTCAATATTTAAAACACCATTTGGTTTACTACATTAATAAGTACTTGTCTAAATGCTACGAGACTGTCTAGTCTATAAAAAAGATACTTCATACACAAATCAATTTTCACGCCTCTAACAACAACAGCAACAATACCTACTGAATGAAAGCAAAATTCGTTGTCTTCATTTTCGTTGCTATCTAAAAATTGGCATCTTCGAAATGAATCACAAATCTTCCAAACTAAATAATTGAAATATTTTGAAATAATTTGTACTAAATTGGCTTAGTTATTGAAAATGCTATTCCACACTGTTTACCGCTTCTGTTTTTATACACAATTTTTTCAAGATTTTACTCACGAAAAAAGATTCGAAATAAATTTCGAATATTTCGTGCTCTGCTTTCGCCATAAACAAAAAAATTCTAACAAAAATAGCCCAAACTTTTCATTTGCTTCTTCTTCCACGCTACATTTTTCCTGAAGAATTCATTCTTCGCTTCTATCGCAACAGTCGGTAATGGATTTTCTTCGAATTCGGTCTAAGAAAAGCGAACGGGACATTTTCGATAATTAACTCGAAAAAATATATTCGCTGCTGAAAATTAATTGAAAATTATAAAAATTACAATATTTTTGTGAATAAAAAAGTTAAAATGTGAAATTATTTATATTTATTGTTGTTTTATGGAAAATAATAGAAAAAAAGTGCAAGAAAAGTAATAAAAAAATATATAATAAAAGTATTCATAATTTTTATATAAGTGCTTATACTGAAAAAAAAAAAATATTGTGTCTATAGATTCTCAAATTCTTCCGAGGCGAGCATAGAAAATTGCAGGGAGAATTCTTTTATGAGTGAAGACTTTGCGTTTTCGTAGGGCTTAAGTGCACTAAAAACATGTGAAAGTATATTAAAATTTTTTTAAATCAGTTTGACTCATATATATAATATTATAGCATTTCAAAATTACTTAATCTATAATAATAAATATGATTAATATGACTTTCGAAGCAGACTCCCATACTTATATTATAATTAAACTCAATAATTTTAAATACTATTAAATAATAATAATAATTGCATACAAATTTTAATATTATTAGAATTTTATTACAAATTAACAACCAATTCGTTATATTTTCTGAATAAACATGAGCATTTTCGACAAAAATTAAAATTAAATCGCATACATTGAGATATAAAATTTTTTAATTTATTTTTATTGCATAAATTTTCATACAAGCCCACCACGACGCGTTCTTTATTGTATTTCAAATTTTATAATTCTATTTCTTTTTTCTTTTTTTTTTTGTTTTCACAACCTCTTATTTCGAAATTTTTTGTATATTTTCGTATATAATATATATATTGTATTATAATGTCTAGCCAGTGCGCTAATATTACACATATAAATTTATTCAAATTTAAATTTTTTTTTGTTAATATATATATGCCTTCTACATAATTTTGATATCATATTTAAACATATCTTTTAACATTATTAAATTTTAAATGAGTATTCCAAATAAAATGATGTTATATTAATTATAAAAAGTTTTATTAACATCAGACCTTAATCGTCCCAAGTTTTACCTCCAGCAATCACGGTCTGAATAATGTTATTATCTTTGATATCCCCCATTTTTTGTCGTCTTCATGCATTCCTTCCAGTCACAGTAGTTGCGGATGTTCTCATTTACTTTTCATAATTCTTTCAATATTCTGTCTTCATCTCTTTGGATAATGTGCCCAGTCACAAGTTTTATGTAGTTTGTAGTTTATGTGCTTCAAAATAAAAACTTAAGAAACTAACACCGTAAACAATATAACCAATCGAGATTTCCCTTAAATTAACTGAAGGGTCTTTAATAGTTGTCATACAAAAAAAATTTAAAAAAAACTTCTGTCGATAAGTGAATCATGAACAATTTCTAATGAGTCATTTCAGAATATCACGAAGATCTGTTGGAACTATAGAGAATTAATTGAAAAATTTGGATAGTAGTAATCATCTCTGTATACTAGACTCAATATAAATTCTGGATTTTGTAACTTTAATTCTGATCATTTTATACAAATTCAATTTGATTCGATTAATGCTACTTCTTGAAACGACAGTGTCTGTTGTATAACATAAGCCGTATTCCATCAGGAACATAGACTATTTACATAGAATCGCCAAGTACTTCTGTTTAATGCTGTTGTAGATCTGTTGTAGATTAAGAAAATATTGCGGATTATACTGTATAAACAAGACTTACTGGTCGTAAACAGTATTTTCAACCCTCAGAAAAAGGAAATGCCCTATTTAACATACTGGTTGTATCATTTATTTGATCGTAATAAGCATAGCTTGATATTTTGCTTTTACTGAATCCCAGATCTAAAAGGTATCTTGATTCACAACAATGTACAAAGCAAACTTTATAAATACTATAACATATATTAGCAAATATCTAAACTGTTTTCTTAAACAATTTGATATTTACTTTTTTTTTTATTTTTTTAATTTTACTTTTTTATAAGAAAAGGGTATAAAGGAAACAGTGAAGAAATTTGGGAAGAGTGAATCTGTAGCAGATACGCTAAGACTTATATGCTCTGAAAATAAAGAGGAAGATTCAAATTTATACTCTATGAACAGTATTAAAAAAATCGTTACAGTATCCATATATCCATTAAATTAATTGATGAAGTTACAATAAGTATATATAACCATTCTAAGATATGCCTCCCCAAACTTTCACCTTTTCACCACCATACAGTATTTACTTACTGTACTAGTATTGTGAAGTTGGAAGGCACTGAACAGTTTTATGACTATTAGGAAAAATCACAAACTGCTTTTATTCAAAAACACATTTTTCCAAGCATATAGAACACATTATCTATAACTGTTACATCACTATCGCCGACGTTTACTATGTAGCTTTTTAAGTAGAGATTTTTTGATGACACTTTTACTGTTAAATCCCAGCTTATAATGTCTTATAACATGTGTAGCGAATACTGACTTAAATAATTCGCTGTACACACTACAAATAATGGACATCTATTGTCTATAAACATAGAGTAGAGCTATGAAAAAATAAAGCTATATTCAATCTGTTCATAAAATAAATATAATATAAATATAATTAGTTAGTTAATTAGTTAGTTAGTTAATTAATTAGTTTATATAAATAAAAAATTAATAAGAATTGCTTGAAAATTAGATAGCATTCAAAAAACTATTTAAAATATGGTATATATATATACATACATTATATACGCTGAATTGGTTACCATTACCCACAAACTAGAGATTATTATGTATTCAATACAAGGCGTATAGCAGGAGGTGTTAGGTAAGAGTAAAGCCACCACTTTTAATATATTATTATGTTGAGGCTCATTGAGTCTATGCACTTGAGCCCTTTTACTCTCTATTAACTGCGAGGTTTCTTCATAACCGCTCTCCACGCCTTCTTTATCACTTCATTAGATTAAGTAATAATTGAACTCAGATCTGTATACCACCCCGAGGAGCCTGACTAAATATTTCCATATGAATTTTAAAATATATTTCAAAAAGCCTTTGAGAAGTAAGTCTCTGTAGATGCCAGGAATAATAAGCTAAACTTCCAGTAATGAAGATGTGAAAAAATAAGATCTCTATTATCTATTTAATCAAATTGGACAATCGTTTGTAAGACAATGAACTTATTATCTATAAAATAACATATTATCTTAAAGTCAATCATAAGTTGGCATGAGTTGTATTGTTTTCAGAACTATTTCAAAAAAATTTTTCTATAATAAATTTCAAAGCAATGTCCATTCTATTCAAAGTACCCACAAAGGTGCTTCTTAGAAATTTACTACTTACATCTCATGTAGAATTCCAGTGAAGCACTGGCACGGCACATCTGTATTGCCACTCATTATTTATGTTTCTATATCGAAGATACATTTCACAGAGGCTAGCCTTTCTTTGTGTCGATCGTTCGATCTACTCTAAATCAATTTAATGATGTTGTAATTAGTATTTTTATTTTATCTTCTACTAACTGCTGTGAAGAGATTAAATGAATGAATTTATGACATTTTCCAGGAAGAAGGAATAAACATTATTCATAACAAATCGCCTGCAAATTTATTTACATAATTTGTTCGTAATCGCGTGTATTCATTTATATACAAAAGAAAATGTTCGTTTTTTATTATGAAAATCGAGAAAATCTGTGAAATCTGTGAAATCTGTGAAATCTGTGAATAAAATTCTTCTACTGCAGTCGCAATCTTCGATGACTGCGACGAGCTAAAAATAAAATTCTTTTGTTGTTTTCTTTAGGAAATGTGGCCGCTACAAATCCTGGCACTTTTAATTGAACTTGCAACGCAAAACTGTGTATCTTAAATTATTTATTTACAAATGTTTAATGAAATACAACAAAAGTGTAAAACATGCAAAAAAACATATTGAAATGAAAATCATTTAAATACTCGCATATTGAAACTATGTGAATTTTATCCCAACTTAATGAAAGTTTTAATGCAAACTGTTGGCAGAATGAAATAAAACTTTTAAATAAATTATTTGAAAATAATTAATAAAAAGTTAAAAAATAAAAAATTTATTTAATTTACATATAATAAAGTGTTAATGCTTTTTTTTACTAATAGACAGTAAACGAAAAAAAATTGCTGCTATTAACATGAAATAAAAAAAAACCGCAAGAAAATTTTAAAATTATTTTTTTAAGAAAATAAATTGTGCAATAAAAGCAATGAAAGTGTGTTATTTCAAAATAGAAAACTCATAAAATAAATAAACAATAAAAATTAATTAAAATCAGTGAACCATACTCGTATAATTGAAACAGTTGAAAATAATTAAGATATAACGAATGAGATTTTCCAGCTGACAACAAAATGTCTAAAAAACCACGAGGGAATATTCACAAAATTCGAGAATTCGAGTTGGAAAAAGTGAGTTGAGATCATTTTTCAATTTTAAAATTATCTATCCCATTAAGATAATAATATAATAATATTATAATATAATAGATTAATAATGTATAATATAATAGAGTAATTATAAAACTCCACTAATATATTTTAATACAAAAAAATACATAATTTAGTATCTTACATAATTTTAATTAAAGAAAAATTAAATTAAATTAAATTTAAATTAAATTAATAAAATTAATTTTTGTTGTTGTAATATACTTCTTTTCGAAACCTTTCTTTTATATACAATAGTCTCTATTAAGTACAATAGTCATTGTCGTCATATTGTTATTAAACTCAAGATTTATTAAATAAATAATTATATATATTAATACATAATTTTAATTAAAAGAAAATTAAATTAAATTAAATTTAAATTAAATTAATAAAATTAATTTTTGTTGTTGTAATATACTTCTTTTCGAAACCTTTCTTTTATATACAATAGTCTCTATTAAGTACAATAGTCATTGTCGTCATATTGTTATTAAACTCAAGATTTATTAAATAAATAATTATATAATAATAAGTTAAATATTAATATTTAATTAAATATATAAAAATAATTTTAACATATTTAATATATTTAATATAATATATTTAATATATTAATATATTTAATATATTTAAATATATAAAAATATATTTAATACTATCTGTGTCCTATCTCATACTTGGAGCAGGTACCCTCTATCGAAGATAATAATTATTTAAAATTATATTAGATTAAGTAATAATTAATTAAATAATAATATTTAATAAAGTATATAAAAATATATTAAATACTATCTGTATCCTACCTGATTTTTGAGCAGGTCTCTCCTATCTGAGATACCAACTCAGCACTGCAGTATCTATGCTTACGGGTCACTACATAATAGGGAGGCATACTATAAGATTGGAGCACCCTACCTATAACAATTTTTGTAGCGGCTGTGGCTCTGAGAATGATTAGGAAACTCTGCTTCATCTCATGAATTAGTGCCTTTCTTTAGCTAGGAAAAGATTAAAAATCCTTTAAATTCTTTTTTTTTACTAACTTGACCGAGCTTACAGTCCTGCAATGTTAGGAACTTAGCCAAATGCTACCAAATGCTAGAACTGTCAGGTTGGTTTGCCTTAACCGAATCATGGAGTCGTTATCTTTTTCGGCGCTAGTCATATACTGAACTTTTAGTCTATGTACTGAACACTATTCCTGTTGTACTACAATGAAACTTTCTTTGAACTCAAATGAGCTTTCTTTCTAAAACCGCCATTCCAACCGACGTATCTACCTATCTGTATCCTAGATTTGTTGATAGTTTTAACGGAACACAAATACTTTCAATCACAGATTTTTACAATTTTGGCAGTTTAGTTTTAACAATATAATATGCTTTAAAACATTGATTAAGTTAATTTATAGCCTAGGTAAATGATGAGACTGCTTGATATCAGAATAGCATCTCCAAAGGGCTCTAATTCATCTACCTAATTCAGCGTGACACCTACATCCCAAAACGGAGCAATTTAATTATGCCTTTTCGGTATTTGAAAAGGTGTAAGTAATCGACTAATCTGCTAACTGTTTCAAACACTCCTTGCATATGTTACGTAGGTAGGCAGGTTATACTAGAAATTCCTTGGACGTATTTGCCGGTTGTGTTTCTGTATGAAAATCATCTAAAACTTTTGGCAAAATCTAAAATGCAATGACCTCGATTTGGACACCGCACATACTGGGACGGTAAAAAATGTGAGGTTCTTTATCGCTCTCCCCACAACTACCACAGGAATGGTTATCTGAGAGATTTAATCTGCAAACATGGCTTCCCAAACATTTATGACCTTTCAATAAACGTATCCCAGGACTGATATCTTTAGCAGTCGTCTCAATGAGATGACTGGATTTTTTCTTAATAGAACGCGCCCAACTTGAATACAGATGCCTGTATATCGTTGATAATAATTATCAATAATTTGCGCGATAATTAACAAAGTTAATTAAATAAAAATTGGATGCTTTGTAAACCCATATTGTTAAATTTTGAATATTAATATAGTTTGGTAAACCTAAAACGTAGCGGGTTTTTAAATAAATGGGTGCATAACAAAAATACGAGTTGATAAAAAGATTTGTAAATATAGAAAAATTACAGTAAATGAATAATAAATATATAATTTTTTATAACACTTTCAATATGAAGGATATTTAAGATTCTTTAAACTCAATGCTATATCTTGTTGTCAGTGCACAATAGATCAAGCTGGTCGGAGTGCATTAGGGGCCTAGCCTAACTCAAAACCAAAATCTTGTTGTCATCTGAGAAAGAACTATATATTCTTAAAAGTGGATTCAATACTATTTTAGAAAAGTTTTTGGTTAGGATTCTCATCGCTCATGACTATAGAATGTGAATTCTATTTATTATGAGTATGCATTCTAATCTTTGCACAAATATTCTAAATAGTCACTAATCCAATATTTCACTACGCATTTCGTCTTTCAGAAATTTTTGAAAGAAAAAAATTTTGATTTGATAAAAAAATGTTATGTTTTGACAACAAATTGTTTGGCCATCCGCCAAATAAAATTTTCTCATCGGCATGTGGTAAAAAGCAACGAAACACACCGATTTCTTTTTTTATTATTTTATTAAAAATTTTAGGTGGAATTGTAAACAATTAAATTGTTTAATAGCGAAATTAGAACACAATTTATTGACGAGTAGGTTAAATCCATTGCTTTGATTAATTTTTATTGCTGAAATTGAATGAATATTGCTGAACTTTTCAGATCAACTTGGTGGATGAGTTCGATATATTGCAAATAGTTGGTGAAGGATGGTTTGGAAAAATTTTACTAGTCGAGCATCGCGCCTCTCAGACCGAAATGGTATTAAAAGCGGTACCAAAGCCCTATGTATCTCTACGTGACTTCTATCGTGAGTTTCATTATGGGCTGCATCTAGGCATACATAGAAATATAGTAACTACATATGATGTGGCATTTGAGACGGCCGGCTTCTATGTATTCACACAGGAATATGCACCATTAGGTAAAGTAATAAAAATAAATTTATATGTTATTTAATCATTATTTTTTTTCTTTGATAATGATCAGGTGATCTTACATCCAATGTGACTGATACTGGAGTCGGTGAGGTATACAGTAAACGTGTAGCTAAACAGGTTGCTTCAGCTTTAGATTATATGCATTCAAAGTAAATTTTTATGAATAAATATTTTATTTATTGTTTATTTTAGTGTGTATAATAAAATATATGTAAATTATATCTCTTTATCATTTTTCAGAGACATTGTGCACAGGGATGTGAAATTAGATAATGTACTCATATATCGCTCGGACTTTTCACGAGTAAAATTATGTGATTTTGGTGAATCGTTTCAATCCGGTAAGTAAAAATAAGAGATGAATTAAAATCTGATTATAAAATATACAGTACGCGCTCAGTTATGTGAACTAATTCAGACAGAGCAAGTTCACATAATCGAAATGTTCACCATGGTAAATCGAAATTTTTTTTTAAGTTTTTTCCCTAATTTTATTAATAAAAATACTTTATATGAATATAATGTTTAGTAACACTTGTTATCCAGGCATTTTTTGAACGTTCATAATCCACTGGATGCAAACATTTTTTAAAGCATCTTGACTTTGCTGCTTTCCCCACAGGTTTTACTTTATGATCGCCAGATACATTTGTGCAGCCTAAAAATATAAGGCGCGCTTTTTCAAGCTTTTGCCCAGGTGCAGCTGTTTCATGTTTGCAAACCAAAGTTTTATATAGATATAGATATAATCTTCTATTAGGTTATGCGCTTTTACTAACGAATTAAAAGTGCTTTTAAAGGGATTCACAAGATGAGAACTCGAAAATAACTTTTCCCGTGAAATTTTTAGAAGCTTTATTCCAAATCTTCGCTAAACTTCTGAACCCATCCATCGCTTGGAAAAAATATTCGTCTTTTCTTTCAAAATGTTATTTATCTCTTTTGCTTTTGTTTTCAATATTTCACGACAGACTGGAAGAGTTCTACTTCGTTGTGCACAGAACCATTCATATAATTTTGCCTCGACTTTATACGTCTCTCCGAATTTCAAAGTTTTCCTTTTAGCACCAGCCACATAAATGTCTGTGGTACCTAAATCTTTTTGTATTTTTTTTATCGCACTAACTGAAGATTCTGATATGTAGTATTTTTTTCAAATCGATGTAACCGATGATCAACTTTCTAAACTTCTAATCAAGTCACATAACGATCACATAATGTTAAAACTTTTCCCGGCATTGTGATGTCGACTGAGAAATCAATTTCACCTTTTGCGAAAAAAGCCTATGCAGAATACCATTAATTGCAAAAGTAAATAAGAAAAAACAAAAAAATACGACATAGTAACTGTTTCATCAGAAAGCTGGGGCCTTGAAATTGAAATAACATTGTAACAAAAACGAAATATGCTCATCGTTTAAGATAAATTATATTATTTGTAAGCCTTAGAACAAAAAAATGAAACCAAGAATAAAAATTTTTAGTTGTTCACATAATTGAATTATCACCTTGTTCACTCTATAGAATACCACGTGTTAAATTTTTCGGCAATTTTTTTGTTCACATAATGGGATATTTACTTAATCGAGTATTCACATAACCGAGCGTATACTGTTTTGAAATGTATAGCTGTTATACATTAGTGTATGAAATTTATGTCTTTAATAGTGACATTGTTTACTAACCTGGTAGATGAAATAATTGAGAATATATTTTCGCGAATGGATTTGAAAGTAAGACAATTAATAAATGTCCATCTATGGATGGTCGGCTATTACAAAAGATCGCCAAGTGAAAGGTGCTCATGAGACTGTTTTATATATCCAATACGTAATGAATTTTTGATGAGTGCATGATTGCATGTAAATGTGTTTTTATCTGCTAGTATTTATGGACTTGTAGCGATGGTTGTTAACAATATATTTGTTAAAAACTAATAATTTGACTTTTTTCGGATAAATCAGGTGTAGAAGGAATATGTGAGAATGAACGCGGCAAATGGGGTTCTAAGTTCATTTTGATTTCAATACAATTTATAACCATCTACAAAATTTTCATTCAATACAAATGATCACGTTTCGTTTATATTAATTACTTAATCAAATGCAAATTTTAAAAGCAATGTTTATGCTTCTTTTCATATAAATATAAAAAAATTTCGATGATACATTAGTAGACGATCTATTTTACGGGGGTGTATAAAAGCTCTATTCTTACTATATATCCTATACCTATACCTATATTTAAAACTTATACTTCTGTAATAATGTGTGTACTTTATGACATTGTATGATTTGAGCCCACGTTCGATTTTGAGCTTCGGACTAGTTTGATGTCGGGGTGCAAAACGGTGCAATAGAGAAAAATGAAATATAAAAACATTGATTTAGATAATGTGAAGATTGTGTATTTAGTTTCGCCTATTTTTAAGTTTCTACGTTTTCTAAAATAAATATTGCGGCTTTGCAATACTTAAGCGTGCTTTATATAATTTTCTATGAAAAAACTTGTATTCTCTACGTTTACACTCCAAATTCTCACTGTTTGGCAAATGTCATTCAGATTGAGATTTAGAAGTGCAATGGAGGCATCTGTCAATGGGTATTTCAAGCGATATAACGTATACTCACCTTCTTGAATACTAATTTGATTGTATTACCGAATGGATGTGTGTCTTGATACGTAGTCAATATAATGATTGGTGAGAAAAATATTAAGATGCAAAATAAGATGCGATAGTTCAAACTTAATTCAAACTTTCATTTTCGTCGATTACGGTATCTTTGAAGTTAATTGAAAACATTTTACTATCCAGCATATCATGAATTTTATTAGTTAATTGTATCAACATCAGCATATTTGGTAACAAATATAATCAATGATCTTTTGAATGATCTTTTTCTGTTTTTTGGATTGAGTGTGATATCAAAAATTATTTGGATATTTCAGTGCCTGCCTAGAAGAGTGGATATGCATTGAGTCCCGTAGGAAAGTCATTTGAAATTTGCACTCTTTTATTTGTGGTCAATTTAAATTTCTACACTCTGTATCATTTTAAAGTTAATTTTAAACATACACTTATTTTGACTGCATATTTTAACTGGGGCACAACTCGTAATGTTTGTCTGAATTCGCCTAGGAGGAATATCAAAGCACCACAAAACAGTCTGTCGTTTCTTGATATGGCGTCCAGAACTTTCAAGAACTTAAGCAATAACGGTATATTGTTTAATGTTATACATTACATTTTCATTAGTATGAATGCTTGAAGGCAATTTCAATAATTCGGTATCTTTGTTTGTAAATCAGAATATTCTTGTGTAGTTCTTAAAGAATATTTTCGTAAATCGCAATAAACACTGTATATCTATTTGGCACCTGTTTGGTGATAGATGAATAGTGCATAAATCTTATCCTCAAGGCTTTAAGTTTGAGTTATGTACACTGTACAGGGTTTGGCAACCGTCATATAGAATCAGTCACCAGCGATGCACGTAATGAAGCCTCTGATATGGCAATCGAGTGTTGACGATGATTAAGAATCATGCTTAACTTATATGGGTCATTCTTTACAAACCGTAAACGGATAAACGGATTTTAGCAAAAAATGACCTCATGATCACCGATTTGGCTGAAATTTTTTTTATGAGCTCCTCTTATAATATAAAAAGAAAAAGATTAGATGAAAACAAAAATACATGTAAACGTAATGATGATGGGGAAAAAACGGCTCTTTCTGAACATTTTCATTCTAGTGGATATTATTTAAACTTTGATGAAGTAATAACGCTTGAAATCGAAAATAATTATCAAAAAAGATTAATGAGTGAAGTTATTCACATCATATTAAATAATGAACAGGTGGTAAACTACAAGAGAGACACCGATAATTTTAGCACATTTTACTCTAATTAACTGGATAAATACCAGTTGATCAGAAATAAGAGATAAAAACCAATAAAAGTTAGCCGTTTGGTTTATATTTATTGAAAAATATGAAGAGAAAAAAGAGAACGTTCTGATTTTTGGCCCAATATTATCATATTGTTTTAGTTTTCTTAGTTTTGTTATATATGTCCAAAAAATTAGTTTTAATTTGTGATTTTTAATTTTTATATTTTAAATGGTTAATTTTATTTTTATTGTTAATTACGATAGTTGAACACCAAATGTATGCATTTTAAAGAATCAGGTATTTATATATCAATGTGTTGACGAAGCACAGATAAAGTTCTTGAATAAAGAACAAAATATTTGCGAATATCTTTAACTAAATGCGTCTCATTGTTCGTGTCTTATAGCTGATAAAAATCTAAACAACAAAAAAAACGAGTAGTATTTTTGACCGCTGTAGGTAATATAAAAATGATGTCTGTCAAGAATTCAACATTCAACAGAGGAACCTATACCTACTTTCAACAGACCCGTCAAATACTTGTAATCATATGTAAATTTTATTATTATCATATTATTATACATTCAAATTATGGTATATGTACTTTGAGTCTAACAATTATTATAAGAACTTAATCATATAATTGAGCAACGTAAAAAACTTGTTTAATTATCGACAAGTAATTTTTCTTTAAAAACCAAGAAATTACGAAACAATATAAGTCTATTGGATTGCTGATTTGCAGTCAATCCCGCAATCTGCGTGAAATAGTACTGTCAACATGGAGTTAATAAGAATCCTTGCATACTTTATTTTCGGAAGTTTCCTGCTCATATACTTGGCATTGAAGAGAAACAATTCCTATTTTAGTAAACGTGGCATATTGCATGATAAACCAGAACTGTTTTATGGCAATCTCAAGGAGTTTACGCGATCCAAAACATTATATCAAATTATTCGTGAATATTATATGAAATATAAAGGAACTGGGAGATTCGTTGGATTCTATTTATATATGCGAAAAGCGATGGTGTTATTAGATCTTGATTTAATTCAAGATATATGCGTTAAGGATTTTGAAAATTTTACTGATCACGGATATTACTACAACGAAAAAGATGATCCAATTTCTGCACACTTGGTACATTTGGATGGTGTACGGTGGAAAACAATGCGAGCGAAATTAACTCCAGCTTTTACAACTAGAAAAATTAAATTCATGCTTACTTCAGTAGTCGACATTGCAAATCAGTTAGTTAGTGTTTTGGAAGAAACGTTAAGTTCAACGAATATGGATGATGGGGTTCATTGTGATGATCTTATGGTACGGTATACAACTGATGTTACTGGAAGTGTTGCATTCGGTTTAAAATGTAACAGTTTAAACGATCCAAATTGCGAATTTGTAGCAATCACCAAAAAGATTTGCTATTATAGATATAGTATGCCAATGGTGGCATTAATGACTTTATTTCCAAATTTGTTTCGAAAACTAGGATTTAAAATTATTATTGAAGAAGTTTCTCAATTTTTTTTACGAGTTGTTCGTGAAACTGTGGAATTTCGAGATCGAACTGGTGAACAACGAAAAGATTTTCTTAACATTCTCAAGGAGTTAAGAAAACCTAATACTGTAGATAATTTGACAATGGATGAGATAACTGCACAAGCATTTGCATTCTTTTTAGCAGGTTATGAAACAAGTGCTAGTGTCCTGAGTTTTTGCTTATATGAATTGGCATTAAATCAAGACATACAGGATAAGGCCAGAAGAGAAATAAATGAAATCATTGCTCAGCATGATGGAAAGCCAACCTATGAAGCAGTAAAGGAAATGAAATATCTACTTCAAGTTATGTATGGTGAGTTGTTAGGTGTGACAGATGTAATAAACAAAATATCATAAGACAATTTTTTTCTGTTTGCTATTAGAAACTATTCGTATGTATTCAGTAGTTCCGGGTCTTGTCCGCAAAACCGCAGAAGACTATATTGTATCTAATACAAATTATGTTATTGAAAAAGGAACTACTGTGATTATACCATTGGATGCCATACACTATGATCCAGATATATATCCAAATCCTGAACAATTTGATCCAGAACGATTTACAAAGACAGAAGTCGAAAATCGTCATCCAATGGCGTGGTTGGGGTTTGGCAGAGGAGGTCGAGCATGTATTGGTTATAGATTCGCGGAAGTGCAGGTGTTGATTGGATTATCTTTATTACTTAAAAATTTTCGATTTTCGCCCACACAGAAGACCCAGATACCAATGAAGTTTAATATGTACAAATTGTTTCGAGGTCCTGAAAAGGGAGTTTATTTGAAAGTGGAGAAATTATGAATAATATTTTAAATACGGATAACATTTCTTTTAAAAAGTTGTTGAAGTATATGAAATTAAGAATATATTTTTAAAAATAATTGTTATACATATCAATAAATGGTATTTAAATAATTTTAAAACATAAGTTGTTTTTTAATTAGTTTGTAGTATTTAGACTTCATGGAGTGTAGCTAGGTATCACAATAGAAAAAAAGTTAATCAGTAGACTTGCTTATGGAAGTAGTTTTTCATTTTATATCAATTATTTGTCATTACAGGTAGTTAATTGAATATTTGAAAAGAAAAACTCTTCATAAGACATAGGTTCATTACTGTCCACTTTGTTTGTATTCATAGCAATCGGCTTAAGGTAACCGATTGGTGGATTTAAGATACATAATTATATTTTATTATCCCAATTATCATCACTTTGTTTTAATTAAAATTGTTTTTTATTATCTATTATCTTCTTTCTATATTATATTTTATTTATTTACAAATACTTTGTTTCATTTTCATGTGTCTATTTTTATTATTTTAGACATATATTGATCAAAGTTAAATCAGTAATTTATTATACTAGTGGAAACTATCGATTGTACTATTGAAAACATTTTACCAAAGAACTATATTTGTATATACAGTACGCGCTCAGTTATGTGAACTAATTCAGACAGAGCAAGTTCACATAATCGAAATGTTTACTATTGTGGCAACGCTAAATTAAAAGTGACAGATAGTTTTTGACATACAGTATGAAACGAGTTAGTTATAGTTAAGCATTGTACGAGAAGAGTAAGAAATTGAAACGTGTTAAAAATAAAGGAAAAACTATTGCTTAAAATATCAGAAGTGGGATTATTCAACATTAATAAAATGTCTGACATCAAAAAACTTCAGCTTTATACTTTAGTTGAATTAAAAGCTTGGTTGGAGGAGCTTGGATGTAAAACAAGTGGTAATAAAAACGAATTAATTCGCCGATTAATTCAAATACCTGAGGAACGCCGTGGTGTTTTTCTAGGAAAAACGACAAAAATATTAAATGATCTGACGCTTACGGAACATGTTGGCGCCGACGCCGATGCATGCGCAAGCAACAACAATAGTAACTCTGAAGAAGATGACAATCATATTCTTGAGGAACAACAAATTATACAAACACATAAAAAGAAGAATCAAATGAGTGAAATTGTAAGTCAGAAACAAATGATAACAGAACAAATGACAGCGAATATGAGTCGAATGAGTGTTATGAACACAAATATTGAGCGAGAAGAAAATAATAACAGTGTCTCTGCTGCACAAGTCAATTCGTTAAAGGAGAACGAAAATGAACTCTTGAAATGGGAGCTCAAACTGTTAAAACGAGAGCTAAACATAGAAAGACGAGAAAAAGAAATTTTAATGAGAGAAAATAAAACATTAAAAAAAGAAAGCCAACAGAACGAAAAAAAAGATTACGCGTTAAATAATAAAGTTAATTTTTCAACTATAAAAGAATTGCTGTCCGAATTTTCTGGAACTGGTGATAATTTTCAGCTTTGGGAAGCACAATTACAAAGTATCCGAACGGCTTATAATCTGGATGATAATAATACTAGAGCACTGATTTCTAACAAACTCAATGGAAAGGCGTTAAAGTGGCTACATACAAGAAACGATTTAATGACTGTACCAATTGAAACCCTAATAAACGATATGGGGAAACTGTTTGAAGACCGCTCAACTAAACTGCAGCTGAAACGTACATTTGAAGCCAGAAGGTGGCAAACAAATGAGACTTTTGAAGAATATTTTTACGATAAGACCATTCTCGCGGGTAAGTTGTGCATTGAAGAAACTGAGCTGCTGGAGTACATTGTGGAGGGGATTCCAGACTATGGTTTATGTTCACAAGCTAAATTACAATGTTTCCGTGACAAGTACCAACTATTGGAAGCGTTCCACAAAATAAGTCTTCCAAAACCAGCAACACCAAAACAATCATTGACTGTTCGCCAGAACACTTCGAATGAAAAATCAACATCAGCCGATTTTGTGGTTTCTGCATCGACTCGTTGCTATAATTGCAACTCTCTTGGGCATGTTGCAGCTGAATGCCGCAAACCAAAGCGGGAGCCGAGGGCGTGTTACGTTTGTGCGCAAATGGGACATCGAGCAGCTGACTGCTCAATGAGGAAAACGCAAGTTCATTATGCCGACGCTGTTGAGGGTGATAACGAATACGTAAGAAATATAAAATTTAGTTTTAATTATTCAAATATTGATCAGTCACTGTATTTAGAATCATTAATTGACACTGGTAGTCCAATCAGTTTTATACGCCAACAGTTCGTGCCACTTGTTAAGTTAATAAATCAAGAAAAATGTAAAATTTTAAATTTTTGTGGTATAAACAAAAGTCATTTACAAATACTTGGACAAATAGTATGCACAGTTTTATATGATAATAAAAAAATAAATCTTAAATTATTCATAGTAGCTAATGAAACTATGAGTTACCCAGTTCTATTAGGAAGAGATTTTTTGAAGAAAGCTAAATTAAAATTAGTAATACAACATGATCCAACTGAACAGTTAATTAATTTTAATCAAAAGAATAAAGATTGTGATGAAAATACTATTAACGATTTAATGAATATTGAATACCATGAACCAATTCATGAGATTAGTGTTAATAATAGTGATGTTGACTACAATACTAGAAAGAAATTTAATATGTTGTATGAAGATTATGTAAACCGCAAACGTCCAGATGAACCTGAGATAAAGTGCGAAATGAAATTAATTTTAAATGATGATAAACCCTTCCAATACCATCCACGTAGGCTATCATATCACGAAAAGCAACAAGTAGAGTCAATTATTGACGAGTTAATGAGAAAAAAAGTTGTGAGGCCTAGTAATTCAGAGTATGCATCTCCTATTGTTCTGATTAAAAAGAAAACAGGTGATACCCGATTATGCGTAGATTTCAGAACTTTGAACAAAGTCACATTGAAAGATAACTATCCACTACCATTAATCGACGATTTACTTGATCGACTGGCGGGTAAAACTTTATTTTCATTGTTAGATTTAAAGAGTGCTTTTTATCACGTGCACATGAGTGAGGATTCTATTAAATATACTGCTTTCGTAACTCCATTAGGACAGTTTGAATTTTTAAAAATGCCTTTCGGGTTAAGAAATGCACCTTCGGTTTTCCAACGTTTTGTGAACCAAGTTTTTGACGATTTGATCAGATCAGGAAAAATAGCGATATATTTAGATGATATAATGATCGCCACGAAATCTGCTGACGAACATTTACAAATTTTAACAGAAGTGTTCGACAGACTAGTAAATAATAAATTAGAGCTGCGTTTAGATAAGTGTAGATTCATGGAATCAAAAATAAACTATCTAGGCTATATAATTTCTAAAGAAGGGATACAACCTGACGGGAAGAATATAGAATCAGTTGTTAATTTTCCAGTGCCGCATAACGCTAAAACAGTTCATAGTTTTCTTGGATTGTGTTCATATTTTAGAAGATTTATTCAACAGTTTTCATTATTGGCACAACCATTATATGACTTAGTTCGCAAGAACTCAGTTTTTCAGTTTGGACTAAAAGAAGTAGAATGTTTTGAAACTCTTAAACAAAAATTAATTGATGCTCCTATTCTTGCGATATACGACCCAAGAGACCAAACAGAACTACACTGTGATGCTAGTTCACATGGTTTCGGGGCTATAATGTTACAAAAAAAGGGGGATGGTAAGCTTCACCCAATTTTCTATTTTTCAAAAAGAACAACTGAACATGAATCAAAATATCACAGTTTCGAGTTAGAAACATTAGCTATTATTTATGCTCTACGCAGATTCAGGATATATTTACATGGAATAAAATTTAAAATTGTAACCGATTGTCATTCATTAGCGTTAACCTTAAACAAAAAAGAAATAAATCCCAGGATAGCCAGATGGGCCCTGGAGTTAGAAAATTTTGATTACTCTTTAGAGCACCGTAAAGGAGAAAAGATGCAGCACGTAGATGCACTTAGTAGAAACACGAATATACTAGTGTTAGAAGAAAATACTTTTGAACAAAATCTATCCATATGTCAGTACCAAGATGAGGTAATTAATGAGATAAGGAAGAAATTAGAAAAAGAAGAGAGTAGTTACTTTGAAATGAGAAATGGGTTGGTCTATAAAAAGAAAGGAAACACCATACTGTTTTATGTGCCAAACAATATGGAGAGGAATATACTACAGCTTTATCATGATGATATGGGACATTTCGGATGCGATAAAGTTGCTGATTCTATACTTAAATCTTATTGGTTTCCGAAACTCAGAACAAAAATAAAAGATCATATCGCCAATTGTCTAAAGTGTATAACTTTTTCAGCAAAGTGCGGAAAGCACGAGGGGTATTTACACAATATTCCAAAGGGCTTAGTCCCTTTTGAAACTGTCCACATTGATCATTTTGGTCCAGTTAAAATTAAAAATTCTAAAAAGAAGTATGTATTCTTGATAGTAGACGCTTTTTCTAAGTTTGTTAAATTGTATACTACGCGAACAACTAGCACAAGAGAAGTTTTAGGGTGTTTAAAATCATATTTTAATTCGTATAGTAGACCAAATATTATTATTTCCGATCGAGGGAGTGCATTTACATCAAAAGACTTTGAAGATTTTCTTAGTTGCTGTAATATTCGACATATAAAAATCGCCACAGGTTCGCCACAAGCGAATGGTCAAGTAGAGAGAATAAATCGGAGTTTAGCACCAATGATTGCTAAAATGACTAACGCAGGGTATACAGCTTCGTTAGATAAAATTATGCCTGATATAGAGTTCGCTTTTAATAACACGATTCATAGAAGTACTGGAATAACACCGAGTGAACTATTATTTGGAATTAGACAAAAGGGAATGGTTGTGGACTATTTGAAAGAAAATTTAGACGAGTTAAGGGCTGATGACGTTCTGAGAGATCTTAGGCAAGTAAGAAAAGAGGCTTCAGATCAAATTGTAAAAAATCAAAACTATAATAAATCGCTTAAAGACCGTCATAGAATTCAGAAAACATACAAAGAAGGAGAATATGTAGTTGTGAAAAATTTTGTTAGTGAGGCAGGCGCCAGTAAAAAGATTTTGCCAAAATATAAAGGACCCTATAGGATTACTAAAGTTCTACCTAATGACCGATATCTAGTAAAGGATGTAGAGGGATTCCAAGTTAGTCAGATACCTTATGAGGGGGTATGGGAAGCGGCAAATATTAAGCCATGGATTGGCAATTCATATCGAAAAGGTTCAATCGGGACGATTGCGGGTCAGGATGGCCGAACTGTGGCAACGCTAAATTAAAAGTGACAGATAGTTTTTGACATACAGTATGAAACGAGTTAGTTATAGTTAAGCATTGTACGAGAAGAGTAAGAAATTGAAACGTGTTAAAAATAAAGGAAAAACTATTGCTTAAACTATGGTAAATCGAAATTTTTTTTTTAAGTTTTTTCCCTAATTTTATTAATAAAGATACTTTATATGAATATAATGTTTAGTAACACTTGTTATCCAGGCATTTTTTGAACGTTCATAATCCACTGGAAGCAAACATTTTTTAAAGCATCTTGACTTTGCTGCTTTCCCCACAGGTTTTACTGTATGATCACCAAATGCCCAGGTGCAAGATGAGAACTCGAAAATAACTTTTCCCGTGAAATTTTTAGAAGCTTTATTCCAAATCTTCGCTAAACTTCTGAACCCACCCATCGCTTGGAAAAAATATTCGTCTTTTCTTTCAAAATGTTATTTATCTCTTTTGCTTTTATTTTCAATATTTCACGAGACACGAAAGAGTTCTACTTCGTTGTGCACAGAACCATTCATATAATTTTGCCTCGACTTTATACGTCTCTCCGAATTTCAAAGTTTTCCTTTTAGCACCAGCCACATAAATGTCTGTGGTATCTAAATCTTTTTTTATTTTTTTTTATCGCACTAACTGAAGATTCTGATATGTAGTATTTTTTTCAAATCGATGTAACCGATGATCAACTTTCTAAACTTCTAATCAAGTCACATAACGATCACATAATGTTAAAACTTTTCCCGGCATTGTGATGTCGACTGAGAAATCAATTTCACCTTTTGCGAAAAAAGCCTATGCAGAATATCATTAATTGCAAAAGTAAATAAGAAAAAACAAAAAAATACGACATAGTAACTGTTTCATCAGAAAGCTGGGGCCTTGAAATTGAAATAACATTGTAACAAAAACGAAATATGCTCATCGTTTAAGATAAATTATATTATTTGTAAGCCTTAGAACAAAAAAATGAAACCAAGAATAAAAATTTTTAGTTGTTCACATAATTGAATTATCACCTTGTTCACTCTATAGAATACCACGTGTTAAATTTTTCGGCAATTTTATTGTTCACATAATGGGATATTTACTTAATCGAGTATTCACATAACCGAGCGTACACTGTATATACTTATTGTATAATAAGTTTTTATGCAAAAGTGAAGTGACAATTTTTAATGAAATTTTCATTTTGAGCAATAACAATTCACTATCTTTAATGGACCGACAATCACCGTCAAACAATTTTTTTAATTCCAAGTAGGTGTCTGGTCAAATGAGGTTTATTTGTTCCAAATAATAAAAAGATAAATTAACTGCAAAACATTTATATATCTAAGATGAGCGTCCGTTCTACAGTAGTATCCGTTAGGAGAGTTTTGTATGTACAATTACACTCTATAACATATATACTATATATACATTGCACACATTTTTATTTGCAAATATCATACCTATGCAATACACACATTAAAAATATTTTCTAAATAAAGGATTGATTATATTCAATATAATAGTGTTCACTATTGGCCCGAAATATGTCGGTTTCCTAATATAGAATAAAGAAACTTAAAATAAAAGATCCACCAACATATGTATATATCACTTATTAGCAGTCAAGGGCTGATACAAGTGTTGCAGAAATTGATTTCCTTCGCAAGATAATTCTTTCAGAATTTTTGATGTTATGATCATATATGCTATAACTTTAAAGTCTTGAATTTTTGCCAGAAGTTTTTCTACGGGAGATTTTATATCGATAGATCGAATTTGTGTTTGAAGTTCTTTTGTTTATTTTGTTTTAAAAAGAGCAATCAACATACTTTAATCTCCTTGCTTCCATCTCATTGTATAATTTTATTAATCAAATTTTACTATTTTTTCTTCCAGGAACTCTGGTTGAAAGGCGTAACGAGTGGTTGCCTTATAGTCCGCCTGAAGTATTAGAAGTAAAGCCAGAAAGTACCTACAGGTTAACAATAAAACATGCATAAAATAATAATATATAACGCATAAACTTATCACTTATAATATTATACCTATATTTCTGAAATTTCAGCGCTGATCCGAATCACGATGTTTGGCAATTTGGTATTGTCATATTTGTTTGTTTAACTGGTTGCTTACCATGGCAAAAAGCTGGATCGGATGACCCACGTTACATGCGGTATATAGCTTGGCATGGCTCTATGATGTTGCCAATGCGAAGAACACCAAAACTGTTTAAACTTTTGTCATCGCGTGCCCAACGTATGTTTCGACGCTTTCTAGAACCGCGAGCTGACAGACGTCCAAAAAATTTTACGGACTTAGCCAAATTCCTAGATGATCGATGGCTGGCCAAAAGTGCTGAAAAAGAGATGGCTGAATATGAAACAGATGAATTATGTCCATCAATGTATTCGTTTCACAGCAGTCCCGATGAGAAACATCGTCTTTTATACCATTTAGCTGATTGTGGTATCGAAACAAATGTAGATAGACAAACCAAAAAGAATCGTATAAAAGATTGGATAGAGAACTCTGTCATTACTGAAGAAGATGAGGTTTGCATAATTTTTATACTACATAATTTTTTCAATTTAAAATTAAATTCATAATTATAATTATTTTATTTAGGAAGAAATTGAGGATACAAATTCAACATCACCATCATCATCTATTTCGCGTGAACCTGTTCCAGGCCATATATCATCAATTAAAAACACAATCAACACAGAAAAAACCAAAGATATTAAAACAACACTTAAGGATGCAGCACAAAAACATTTCGATCCACGCACAGGTGCACTACAACAAGGTCCTAGTGAAATGGGTGTCACTGTATCTGCACCAAAGTCATTAAGTCCATCAATGTCTACATTAAATAATGCAGATAGTATGTGTGGCAGTATACTAACTCTTGGTTCTCGTCAAGACTTAATATCGAGCAACTTACAAATGTATAACTACAATTCCGATGTCAATCTTAACCGTTTAGGTGAGCCCATCAATACAATGCACAGCTTTCTTAATCCAACGCTTAGTAGCGCTGATATATTGAATCAGAAAAATGAATCTTTATATATTACTAATACTAATAATAAATCTGGCACATCTAACCAAATAAATAGCAGAGGAAATATGAGGAATATTCAGCGTTCGAAGTCCGATTCAGTAAGAACAGCATTGTATGCTAGTTCGCCATCTATAAACACCACAACTTATTTGCCTAACAATGTAACTAATCAGCAAGGTAATAGCTATTACAATAATGCAACTACGGTGGAAGCACCGAACGCAAATGCTAACCAAACTTTTGGTTCAAATAATAAATCTGTCACTTTTGCTGGCCTAACTAACGCCTTTCAATCGCTTGCGCAAATTTCTTTGCCACCAAATGCAACAACACAACAACAACAAATGCCTTCAAAAGTATTTAATCAATCATTATCTGATTCTACAGTTAAAGATAGTGCGTATGGTTCTATTGACACCAATGGCAGTCCCGCGAGAAATTCAAATAATTATGAATCAAATGGAAATATACAAAATAACAAAATGGATGTTCCACAACAAAATAGTGCCGTTCGCACCCAGAATTCTCAACAACAACAGCAACAACAACGGATCTATAGAGGTGCTGTTACTTCTACTATGAAGGACACAGCTTACGATCGTGTCGTAGTAACAAATAATGCCAAAAAGAGAAGATGAATGTTATACAGTGTTTTTATTTTGTAATTTGTATCCTATTAAATACTTTACGTATATATTATTTATTAAAGTTCCATATAATATAATATAATGTATTTGTCTGATATTATTTTTTTAATAAATTTTAATTATTAAAATAAAATTAGTTAATAAATTATAATTAATATTATATAACACATGCAAGTATTGATAAATTATTTCTTATATATTTAGATCCTAGAATAAGATGTGTTTAGTCAAACTTCTTTCTTGAACATTGTTCGTTACTCTCCGAAAAATTTCAATAAAACTTTAACAAACTATGTTTGATGGACGATAGTATACAGCTTTCTAAATAGTAGGTACAACAGACGCTAATGTATCCAGAAAAGTGTCTGCTTCTTTACTTTACTATTGGAAGTACTACATGCAGTATCAGCTCGAACATTGTCTTTCAATATTTTTATTTTTATGCATTTCCAATAATAATAATAATAATAATAAGTAATGGTTACTTCATATTCTAATCCGATATTTGTAAATATAAATGGTGTTTATTGTATTAAATTAATTTTTTTGTGTTAAATAGAATTTATTCTATTATATATTATTTATTATCCTAAATAGTAGTTATTTTGATAAATGGTATTTATTATAATAAAAAGTATTTATTGTGATAAATGCTGTTTATTGTAATAAGTAGTTTTTATTGTAGTATATGGTATTTATTTTTATAAATGATATTTACTGTAGTAAATAAAATGTGTTATGAATTGTGAAAAAAGCTACGCTTATTGGTGGTACTGTATTACCGATTAGGCCACATAGGATGAATTGATAAGCGTTAACAATTAGGACACGTTTAAATGATAGTTTGCTGTTACCGAATATACCACACAACTAATCACAAATCATAATTATTACTCATTGAAAACTATTAATTAATAGCTTTATATAAAACCTTTGTATATCACTTAAGTGAAATTGTTAAATCTTAGTTATGTATTAACTTTATAATTGACTCTATTATTTATATATTTACATATATTGTAAAACAACCAATCTAATTTTTTTACTGCACATAAGTGCAATATAATATATTAATTAATTTAATATTTCTAATAAAATTATATATCGAAAAGAAATAATAAATTTTAAATTGTCATATTTTTACGTGTACTACTACAAAAAAAATTTTATGCGTACTGTACAGATAAATCAGCTGTATTGACTTTATTTTCTGCCATGCGAATAACAAAACAAAACAGAATAATAATCAACAAAGCAAAATTTTGTAAAAACATTTTAAACTTTCTTTTAGCACCTCTTCAACATTAAGTTTTTTTGTTAATTTGCTGACGTTTTTGATTGAGGTGGTCGGTCGGTAATATTTTACGTGGTTTTTAGTGTTATTAGTACCTTAATTTATTTCATTTAACAGTTGAGTGTATAATTATTTTAAAACATTTTCTGCTAATTAAAAACGGTATTTTTTAACACCTCATAAACTTAATTGGAAAATGTAATCAAAATTTAATAATTATTAACGAAAAATGTTATCTATTGAAGTGCTTTTTTAGGTATTTTAGAAAAATGTGAGTTTTTATTTAAATTTTTTACAACAATAAGAATATATTACATATATTTTTTTTTATATAGCAATCAATTGAGGATATTTACAAATTATTTGGATTCGGTATTTGGTTACGTTCAATGCACGCTTTGCTCTTATTTTGTTTAGTTAATCGAAATAGCGAAAGTGATTCGTACAAGCCTCCATAACACAACAACAACAACAACAATAATAATCTTTGCAAACAAGTTTTTGTGACCAAAACATATTTACTTCACCTGTTCATCCGCTTGGCCTAGAGTACTAAATTCGGCAAATCACACACAGTTTTGTTTATCTAAACAACAAAAAATTACATCTGCACGATGATGTCACATTCCGGGCATATTATGACGTTGGCCAACAGCATTATTGGAGTTGGCATATTGGCAATGCCATTCTGCTTTCAAAAGGTTTGTTTTATTAGCAAATATTTATGCTTGTTAACGTTTGAATTTTTTTTATTTCATGGCTTTAACAACAACATTGATCTTGCATTGAAACGAGCATAAAATCACGTTTTATTTTTAATTCAGATACATCTGTGCTAACAAAACTGATGTAAAGATGCGTTGATAAGCTAAATCGAAATTATAATTTTTTTTCTATAATTCATTTTAACACGAAGCTCGCTTCTCTTCATGTTTGAGTTAAAGATAAATTCTTTTAAATTATTTATTAGCAGCCAAAAAATTACGTGCCATGTTAGGAAAAAAACTGACAGACTTTTTATTGATATTGCAATAGTAAATGAAGCCAGTGTTGGCTATTCGTACAGTATAACTAAAAAATATATATGTATATAAGTTGTTGATTCGTCTACAGACTAGTCTGATCTGAGAACCTTATAAAATATATATTTATTCCAATCAATGTTAAAAATCTTCGAAAAATGAAATGGAAGCAACAATGCTTTAAAATAATACAATACAAATAGCTGTGACGAAGTTACGGACAGTCTTTCTACTATTGCCTTTATATAGCGTTTACATAAAGCTAACCAATTATATAAACCAACTTATTATTATACAATTACTCTTATTCTCTTGTATTTGTCGCACCCAAATTTTCAACTTTATGCCAGGGCAATTAATCTATTCACTACTTAAAATAGATGCATAGAAGTTCAGGTCTTATAAAACTCAGAGTGGCAATTCCTGCAGTTCTTTGCTTCGAATCTGTTTTTGTGCACTCGGATACATTTTCGGGCAACTCTGTTACAGCTATTTTTGCATGAGTTTAAAAAGAAATATTTTCAAATACAGATTACCCCGTTTTCCAGCTAATGTACTTTTTGGATAACTCATAAAATATTCATTCAATAATAATTTTAAGAGGACTTCCCTTCCTGGTTACACGCCTGGCTGTCATCCTTTAAACGTCGGCTTTAAGACTTCTTTAATTGATTCCTTAATTTTAAAATAGAAGAGTTATCAGACTTGTTTTCTTTAACGTTATCCGTGCACTAACTACTTCAGTTTTTATACCAGTTTTGGTATTCTCTTAGTTTGGCGTATACACAACATTTGTTATCCATGGTATCAAAATGAGCCCAACTTTGGATTTTAGAGAACTCTCTATCATCTAATCATGATGTCACTCATGTGTTTTTCTGTTCCAATGCTTACTTAAACTTGATTATTATAGATCCTAGGACCCAACCTATTGCCTTATTAAAGTGATCAGGTTTCTCCGCCTTAAAACTAATGGAATTTAATATAAATCACACCCATCCTCAATCCGTTCTTAACATTATTAAGGGATGGGATATGACACTGTGAATGTCAATTATATTGTGCTCCATTCTTACTCCTAAACAATTACTTCCCGTCTCACACTACCATTACCTATCCACATCCTAACCCATGTATACGTGTTTGTTATTCCTTTAATGTTATCTGCTTAATAGATCCGGTTTTATAAACTGAACTAACTGTGTCAAAGAGATTGATGCAATTGTTAATAGTCAATTTAAGCTAGCAACAGCATTCAATTCAAAGCACCGACTGTATTATTAATTATATATGTATATACAAATATCGATTATATATACTCTTTCAAAAATCATATTCTGAAAATTTTAATTAACAAAATTTATATTTTAGTGTGGTATTGTACTATCTGTAATTTTGCTCATAATAAGCGGTTGGGTTACACGTATCTGTTGTCATTACCTCATCAAATCTTCTTTACTTACAAGACGAAAAAGTTTCGAGTTTTTAGGTAAGCCAATATATTATAAGTATTCAAAAAACAGAAAATTTAAAAAACTTCTAGTAAATTTTATTTAAATATTACCAAATATTATCTTTTCACTTCAAAATAGGTTTCCAAGCCTTTGGATCATCTGGCAAACTGCTTGTTGAACTATGTATAATCGGTTACTTACTGGGCACTTGTATTACATATTTCGTTGTTGTCGGCGATTTAGGACCACAGATTGTCACCAATTTATTCACCCTACAGTATGAAACTACGAAACTGCGAACATGGATTATGATCGCAGTAACCATTCTTTGCATTCTGCCATTGGGTATGCTAAAGAATGTAGACAGTCTATCCACAGTTTGCACAGCATCTATTGGTTTCTATATATGTTTGGTGTTTAAAATTATTTTAGAATCTGAAGCACATATAATAGCAAATGATTGGTCTGATAGTGTCGTATATTGGAAACCAGCTGGTATTTTACAATGTTTGCCCATATTTAGCATGGCATTATCATGTCAAATGTAAGTAACTTTTGTGTCTATGGTACATAACCTTCTTAAAACTTCTATACTATTTTAAAATATATTCAGGCAATTATTTGAAGTTTTTGAGAGCATCAACAATCAGAGTTTAGAAAAGCTAAATGGTATCGTTCGTAACGCTACTTGGATTTGTACTTTTGTTTACATTGCTGTAGGATTCTTTGGTTATGTGGCTTTTTGTACGCAATCCTTCTCAGGTAAGTTCAATGATATAATTTTGTTATGTATAATTAATATGTATTATACTTTTAGGAAATATTTTAATGAATTTTTCACCATCTTTCGGTAGTGATGTGATTAAAATTGGTTTTGTGCTTTCTGTTGCATTTAGTTTTCCATTGGTTATATTTCCATGCAGAGCAAGCATATATTCACTACTTTATCGCAAGGTATGTAATATATTTATAAACATTTTCAAACATATACTCACTGCTTTATCGCAAGGTATGTAATAAATTTATATACATTTTTTTATAAACGTGAAAGCTTAAACTAGACACTCTTATCAGCAAACATCTCAGTTATGCGTCTCTAGTTTTCATTTTTCGTAAACGACCAGTATTGTTGTCTCTATCGGTATCCGCCTAAGTGTACTCTCACTATTTTATAAAATTAAAAACTGATGGATTAGATTTTTATGTACAATATTTTTATAAAGATACGTATAAAATATTTACAAAAAAAACATATTACTCTTCAACTGAACGACAAACTAAAAGCAGGTATTTAAAAATTCGACAAAACACTGCAAAATGGTATGGGTATAGGGAGTTAGATATCTTGAATCTATGAATAGAATTTCAACTGAGTGAAACCATTATTCAATAAGACACAAACTGATATGAACATTTAGCCATAAATACAAGTAGCCAAAGTCAAATAGAGAAGAACTGAAGTTAGGGCACACATTGAAAATGGACTTATTTATGCATGCTTAGAACGTGCCTATATCCTGATCTCAATTAAGCAACAACAGGTTTTACTGCACGAAAGAAACGTCTTTCATTTTTAAAAATATCAGGCAGGGATCTGTTAAGAATTTTGCTGTTAGACAACAGTGATTTCAAAAAGGACATTACCTTGGTATGGCAGGCGGGAAGCCTAAAGTATATCTCTCTGATGTTATCTCCATAACGTTGAATGTCGATGTATTCACTACATGAAGACATACGCAACGAATGTGAAAACGAGCATATACCTGCACCTGGCCGCCTATGAAAACGGTTAGAAGTTTAAAAAAAGAAGTCTTGAAAAACATGGGTTAAAAATTAGCTGTATGTCAACTACAAGAAAAATAACTAAATATCATGTCTGCATTGCAAGTTTAAAATGTATTTTTAAAAATATTTTTTTTTTACCTACATATAATGGAACAATATGTTCTACAACGAAAATCAAGCTAATTTATTTACAAATTAAATTGTTGGACTGTAAGTTGATAAAACTATTATTAAGTTTATAAATAGTAAGGTTTAATTAGAAAGTAGCAGATAAAAGATCCACAATTTTATACATTATTTATTATAATAAATATTTTTTATTTAAATCACGTCATTTTTAAGCTTTGGCCAAGACTATTTTGATATTTTCTAAATATGAGACTACTCATTTTGTTTGACTCTGCAATGTGTCTTTTATACATAGTAACAATTCTTTTAGTGGTCCGTGTTCGTTAAAGAAAACTCTCAGTTTAAAATCGCATGATTTAAAGAGCTGTCAATTTATAAGTATGTCCATTTTAGAGAAAGCTTTTGCGTTTTAATTATCATTTATTTTAAATAAATTTTTTCTCAAGTGAATCTTTTCGCTGATCTTACACAACTGTTTCCGATATCGCCAAATATTCATCAATGGTCCAGAAGTGTTTACAAACAATTATTGGTTTAATTTTCCGCATATAGTTTTTGGACTACAAGTAGTAATATATGACATATATTTCACGATATCCGAAACAGATGTATCATCAACCCCAGAATTTGATTAATTAAAATTTTCTCAATAGGGAGAATCCTTTTTTATTCGTAATGAATTTCTCATCATAAACCTAGTGTTAAGATTTCGATCTATCATAAACTCCTTATTAAACAAATGTTTTATAGAGTTTTGACATTGTGTAAATACTTTTGTGTGCTGTTTAATGTCATGTCATGATGTTTATGTCAAGATCCTTAATAATGAATTTTTGTTTATATTACAGGGTCATTCTGATGGTTTAGGCTACATTCCCGAACAACGTTTTCGAATTATTACTGTATTTATTGTTATATTTTCGTTATGTGTTGCATTAATGATACCTTCGGTGGAACTTATTATTGGTTTAGTCGGTTCAACAATTGGTGTTGTTATATGCATAATGTTTCCTGCGTCCTGTTTTCGGAAAATAATCAAGAAAAATTCAACTGAACGATCTCTTGCTCAATTTATACTTGTTAGTGGTTTTTGTTTAATGATTTTGGGTACGTATGCCAACTTAAATGCAATAGATGAAAAAAGTTCTGGAGCACATTTGGGTCCAGTGGATGTACAATTAAATATGAAAAACCCTACTAAAACACCAGCTGCATTATCAATAATTGACTTAGAAATGCCAAATAATATAAATGTAGAAGAACAACTAGGGGATAAAAAAAATGAAAAGCCTAAAAATGATATAAAAAATACGGAAGATTTAAAAATTGATAAAAATAAAATTCCACTTACTTTAGAAGTTGAAAACAAAAATTTGCCACCTCCTCTACCAGTTGATGAGAAGCATGATGAAAAACCTTCACCTAAAATAGAAATGCAAAATGTGCCTGCAATACCAGACAAATTACAAGTGATATCACCTATACCAGATGGCGTCTTACCACTTGGAGCTGCTTTGCCTATAAACAAGGAAAAACCTTCAACAGTATTCTTGAACATAAGTGCACCAACAACAAATTTTACAAACCAAAATATAATTGCACAAAATGCAACACAACAACAAAATATAGACACTGATGCTATTAAAAAGGATGATGAAATCGCTGCGGAGGAAATAAAAAATAATAAGCTCATAAAATCTGGCGATGAAGAGTTGAAAAAAACTCAACATGAATTAAAAAAAACCAAAGAACTTCTTGAGCGTACCGTAGATGAACTTAAAGAAGAATTGGCTAAACAAAATAAGGAGACACAAAATTTAGTTGTTGAAAAATTGGGTGAAGTAGTCGAAAAGGTTGAGCAAATCGAGCGCAAAGTCCAGCAACAAGACCAGCACCAACAATCAGGAAAAGAACAACAAAAAAGTGATTTGCAAGTAAAAGAAGCACCACAAGAACAACAAAAAGTGGAATCACAACCACAACAAATGTCACAGGAACCACATCAAGATAAAGTTCAAGTGGAACAATTACCTAACAATCAAAAACCAGAGAAACAAACGCAACAATCACCAGAGAACCATCTTAGTGAAAACAAACCGAACACTAAAGGCGAAAATAATGTGGACAGCGTTTTGCCTAAAACAAAGGGCTCGCTTTTAAGCATACTTTCAGATGCAGCCAACGATAAGACTGTAGATAAACAACAGGTCTATGAACCACTTTCATATAAGACTGGTGAACTTTTAGAACGCGCATATAATGGCAGTAAGTTAGACCAACGGTTACCACTGCCACTTGCATTGCTTATTAATGCATCTCAAGTAAAAGTGAATGAAACTAATAATCAAAAAATAAACACAATAACCAAAGATATTTTAAAGTCTACAGATAGTTTTAAGCAACTAAATCTATTAAATGGAACGAAAAGTAACGACGAAAACACTTTACCAAAAAATAATATTAATACCGATGCAAAGGAGCAGCAAAAAACTGGCAAGGAAACTATAGAAGCAATAGATCATGACATTTTACAAAAAAGAGTTGTAGGAGAAAATACGTCCAAAATAATTGCTCCTGAAAGTTTTAAAGAGGAGCATAAAGAAAAACGTTATAAACGTTCAATTGACCAAAAATCTATAAATTTTGATAAAATCAATAGTGACCTAGAGAAAGCCAATTGCCTTAAAGTGCCAAAAGTAGAAACAATATTAAGCTACGGTTTAAATGATGCCCACGATAAGAAATCGCAAATGAGCCACAATCTACAATCGTTCAACAATAAAAACAATTAATATATTAAATTACTATTATTATATATATTTATTAATATTTATAAAATTAAATTCAAATCTTTTTGCTAATATTAAAAATATACTAAGAAAATTAACCCACTGAAGATACTTAATACCCACTTAGTCCAAGACAATGTTAACATTAGAAAGTAAATAAAATTTAAAATAATTGTTATAGTTACTATTTATTTATATATAAATAATATATTGTAGCTTATATTTATATATATATACTAAAAGTAAAATGTTAATTAAGTTTATATGTATGTATGTATGTTATATATAGTATAGTACAAGTGTTCTAGTATCTAAATAAAAATATGTAAATATATACAGTCTAAAAAAAGTAATTTTAAATGAAATATTTTAATAATTCTATACCATTTTTACTATATTGACCCATTTTTCTCCATACAAAACGTAGAGCGGAGCAGAAATATATTAAACATATTTTAGAAGGATCAGTCGAATATTCAATGTACATATTTTCTAAGGATCGGTACCAATATTTTCCCAACAAAATATAGGATTTAGGATCAGTCAGTGACTTTAACTAAAGCGTAACCTGCTCTATACAACGGTATGACGTTGACATATCACTGCGTACTAGGAAAACATGCTATGAAACTCGGTCTATACTGTAATAACATTTATCGTAGATATGGCTCTTCCACCTTCTTAGGCAATGTCCACATCTTACTAATAGTAGACGAATTTTTTTTCTTTATCTATTTATGTTCTATCTTCTCTTATCTTATCGTAACTAATAGAGCTGTCATTCTTCAAAATTAAGAATCAAGCCAAGCTTATAAACTTGTCAGGTTAATACCATTGCATTTCTCCATTGAAGTGCAATAAGAACACAACTCGTGTGTTTCAGCATTGTGTGTTCACTGACCTCAACGTTTCTTTTAAGAGTTTGAGAATATAATCTGTGATATCACAATGGACCATTATTTCAGTTCAAGTGAGCTTTAATGTATAACACCATAACTTCAACCTATTTTATAAATAAAATAAATGACTTATAAAATAAATGAATAAACCCATACGAATCAAACATTAACTTTTCAAAATCATAAATCACCTGTTTCAATTATCATAAATTAAAATCTAGAACAGCCATTGCATTTTCTATATATATAGTAATAATAATTTCTGTACCATACTTTTGTAACTACTCAATTTAATTAAGCTAATAGCATGTTGTTGTTGGAACCCTTAAGGAATTGTAGGGGCTGTGACGAACGGCACTTGGTTGTTAAACTCTACGAGTGGCTCGGGGTGGTGGACCCGGCTGTTATTGGAACCAAGCTAATAGCATAATTATGTCCGCTGCAGAAATTGATTTAGTATTTTAGATACTCATGGGTTATGCAAAATTTTACACATGTGTAGATACAAATCTAGTATTAATAACTTGTAAAGTCTCATTTCTCTATAAATAAATTTTTATTAATAAATAAAAGACATAAAAAAGCATTATCAACTTTTTCATAACATTTCCAGAAATACATAGATACATAAATATTTTTTTTAACAATTATTTAAAAACACTGATAAAACCCTGATATTCGTTGGAACAATAAGATTTTTTAATGATAACAATGTCAATCACATAAAACTCGATTTTTCTAATTTAACTACACTACATTTTGAAATTTCAAGTAATAAAACTGCTTTGAACAAATATTTTTAAGTTGAATTTTTTCGTTTCATTAAATGATTTTGGATGTCGATCCATTCCTACACATCAGCACCGATTGCATGCAAATCATGTAATACCTGAAAATATATACTCGTATCATAAATATTAGGTTTTCTAATAGATAAAATAAGAATTTCTTTACTTCTAAAATTGTAGCAATGCTCCAGGCTTGAGTCCGGCATGAATCATTGCAATAGGTGCCATTTTCATTAGTTAACTCAGGTAAACCACGCCAATGTGACCTTTGTATTTCCTTTAAGTGTGCTCTTAGTATCGACCTACATAAATCGAAATATATCACCTTTTAAGATTTATTATTCTAAATATATTATTTAAATAGTATTACCAAGTTTCGGCTATTGTTTCATTCAAAAAGCCACACTTCTTTGCAAATATTAAACGTGCTCTTAAGTAAAAACCAATAGGCCATATCCATTCTGGTCCTTGATGATAATTGGCACCATGTGCTACTTTGCAATCAGTTGAGTCATTTGAATTATCATAATTACCACGATAATTCCAGTCACTAGAATCTAACGTCTTCATACCAAGTGGTCCCAATAAGTATTTACGTGCTTGTTCTAATGCTTTCCATGCATTTTGTGGATCGAATAATTCTGGTGCCACAACCATTGTTATGGGGAAATTACAACGCAACTGATAGTCCGTCCAGCCTTGTGAAGCACCAAAACTATCTTTGTAGATATTCTTTTTGTTTGCCAACGGCGCTTTTTCAATTTCAGTTACAAAGAAGAACTTCTCAAAATTATCTTTAATACGATCAGCCCATTCCTTATAAGTCCATTTGGTAGTTTGATCTAAAAAACAAAAATTATAACATAAACAATAGAAAATTAATTTAATTAATAACACCATTTGGTCCTTTGCGTTCGACGCCTTTAAAAGGTATAAATGATTTTTCACTCATGGATTGCATAAATCTTAGTACAGCCATTTGCAAACCAACTAATTCCACAGCACTGCCATCTCTAGGTGTAGCGGGACGTCCACGATTGCCAGCTTTTTCGGATGATCCCATTTTGTCCATCCAAGTGCCACAATTTGCAACATTGCCACCAAAAACAAAACCACTTTCTGGATGTATACCAATTTGATTGTTAAATCCTTTATCTGTCATATGTGCATCAATTTCATGACCAGCATTGTGCTCACGATACTGCAGACCTCTGAAGTGTACCTGCAACGCTTCCTGCATCACATCATATAAATATTGATCATGCTTTCCAGGGCCACAAGCAGCACTATCATCTGTTGGAAATATACGTGAAACTTTATCTTTTAAAATGTCCTTTCCTTGTGGAGCTTCATCGACGTATTGCTTAATGCTGTGTAGCCACCACCAGACAGCATCACGGCAGTTAAAACGTGGCTTTGTGCCATTATCCAATAAATTTGGTATCAAACCATGACGCAAGCATTGTCCGAAGCCTAATATAATGAAACGTGCTTCGTCAAAACGACCTGTTAGGAACATTAAACCGCGTAAAGCAATAAATGTATCGCGACCCCAACAACGCATATAGCCTGTGGAGAAATGTGGTAAGCCAGCTGATAGGGTGACGCATTGTTTTGGTGGAAAAGGTGGAGAAATATCTGGACTTAGAGCTGGTAAATTTGCTGACTTGCAAACTGTTAAGAACTGCAGTGTTCCTAAACCCAAAGCCTGTGGAAAACTGTGGCCTTTGCGTATGAAACTGAAAACAAAATTTTATTGAAATGTTTTTTTAAATAAATTATATTTTCCTAAGCTAAGGTTATTTATGATATCAATAAATTAAAACTATATTTTATTTGCATATTTTCTAAAAGAAGTAGAACATAAAATAGTTACGATTATAAAAATAAAGGATATTCAAAAACTTACTCCGGCATTAGTTCATAGGCTCGTACTATTAAAATATCATAAATGCCACTAACAATTGTATCGAAGTAGCAAGGTATCAAGTAGCGTGGAATATTCTTAATGGGCTCAAATGATTTTTTAAGCCAGGCTGATAACTTCTTAGTACTCTCAAAGTTATCCAATCTACCAGCAATGTAGTCTAAAATTTAATTTATTAAATCTACTCTCAGAAATAAGCGGTTTTTATTTATACCCATCATCCAATCGCCATCTCTAAGATTGTTACAAAATGGATGACCCAGATCATTCCGTGGTGAAATCTCGGTAAGGATTGATATAAATCCTTGTAAACCACAATAAACTATCGGGCCGTAATTGGGTATATCGTAAGCGGCACCTCCAAGCCCAAGATCACGTTCCTCTTGATCACAAGTAAAAAGTACGCGATTTAAATCTACCAAATCCAATTTAGATACAATATCGTGCAACTCCGTATAAATTACTCCAGTTTTTTTTTGGAGTGCATTTTTTAGGTTATTTAATTGTTCAAAATCTGCTTTAGGTAAAGATACTCTAAAAGAAATATATAGTTTTAAAGTAAAACGTTTTTTATATTAAATTTCAAAGCTAACCAACCTTACGGCAACTACTGAACCTGGATAAAAGTTCTCGAAATCGAGTTGAGTAACATTGCCATCTATATACGATGTTGTCTTGAAAATATTCGACTTTTCTAATGGTATATGTTCTTGTAAACGTAATTGGAATTGTGAAAAACCATTTATATAATCAGCATTCTTTTTCAATGGTGCCGGTCTGTCAAATGGTTTATCACCATTTATGCGCAAATCAGCCTCCAAAATAATTTCATTTAATGTGCCATCAAATCTTAAGGGACGCACACCAGTAGGTCCAGCATACGGACTAGGATATCCAAATGCAGTATGAGCTACTAAAATCACACTTTCATGAGTGGTGGGTGAATGACGAGTAACTGCCACAATATTTGGATCCATTTGATCAACATAGACTTGAGTAAAACCTTCTTCAGCTAATTGACCATGTAGTAAATTTAGTGCCCGCTTAGCAGCAATTATGCCTGTGTTACTAGTAACACTTTTGCCCCATTCTTGATACTGACGCTCTTCATTAACAACATGTATCTATAGAAACATTTGAATATACATAAAATTATATATATATATTATATGTATAAATAATAAAATTTAAAAGTGCTTACATGGTGAGGCACCAGCTCATCATAACCACGATTACTGCCAGTAGCACAGCAAGCCATTGATACTAAAGCTGCCGACGGCAATAAATCATAAACTGAACGCTTTTCCACTGGTGATGGATTATCATGTGTTAAGTCCAAGAATAAAGCATGTGCTATACTGGGTACAAGATCTCGTTTGGGATGTACATAGAAACCTCCTACAGGTATACCGCCATAACGATAAACCAGCCTTCCCTCTTCATGTGAGTCCCAAGCTGACTGTGCTTCTCTTATTAAAGATGTTATGCCCAAACGATTAACGAAAACATTATCTGTCGCATCTGAATTAGTAAATAACTCGGCCACAACATACAATTCAGGATTAATTTTACGAGCAGCATCAAGTAAAAATTCTGCAACATGTATAGGTGTTGAATGGCAATTATCCAATCGGACACCGTCGAAAATCTTTGCTGTTTTCTCCACATATTCAGTCATGTGCTTCCATAGATATGGACTATCTTCCGGTTTCTTGCCGAAACGTAATTTTACGCTGTCACCCCAAGCAATAAGCTCGCGCCTGAGATAAACATTACCTCGGCCGACCTGTTCCTCTGCAAAATCTCTTAGAGGATCACTATAACCCATTACCCAACCATTATGTGCCATAAACATTTTGCCCATATCCCCATGCATGCCTTCTTCTATCTCCGTTAATGTTCTTCCACAAGCTGCTAATTGTGTAAAATATTTCATAAACACAGGATGTGTTTCAGTAATAACTCGCACTTTCGGTCCATCACCCTGCACACGCTCGTAACGTACTCCGGCTAAACAATTCTCAATGGCATAGTTCAAATGTTCTTGCACATCATTACGAATTTCTTCATTCAGTGCTAACAAATGTGAGCGTAAAGTTTCAGAGCATTTACGGAAACGTGACTCCTCATCAAAACAGTCGCCATGGAATGCATTAAATATATCTAAAGCCAAATCCATATCAATAGTTGCGGCAAGACGACGATACTCGGGATTTGGTTTGATTTTTATTTCATTGAAACGTTCGGTTTTTGCGACATTCTTTGGTGGTTCTCGTGTACGCACCTGTGACATAAATTCGTTGGTATATTTCATGACATCGCATTGATATAACTCAAATATATTGACTTTCGGCAAGTAGGTAGTATGAAGTTGATATCTAAGAGCTTCTATATGACATTCGGCTTCAATAACTGCGGGAACTCCGACATGCTCGAGCAAACCTTCTGAAATATCTTCGCTACATTTAGCTAGCATTGCATCAAGCAAAAAAGCTGGTCGCAAATAAGGACAAGCAGAGCATGAATATGTGGCATCGGGATGATCAATTAACCATTCCGATTCATTAGCTGTATGATTGAGTACAATGTCACAAATCGAGGCAATCTAAAAATAAGAAAATAGATTTTCCGAAATTGCAACACATAATTAAAATTTTTTACTTACACCCCATTCTCGTCGACATTTCTTTATGACAGCATCTACATCATCAAAATCAATGGAAGAGTTCTTGTTGGCAAAGTCAGGGTTTACTTTTAACTGATTGCGCAACGAATATGCTGAGCGTGATCCACCCAATTCCTGTATGGGTGTAAAATGTATGACATTGTAACCTGACTCCTTGGCAACTTGAAGCTTAGACTCCCATGTAGAAATTGGACCAAGTAGTTTAGATATGACTGTTTGACAACGAACCGAATCTAATGGTAAAACTTTTTGTGCACCTGGTGGGCCAACATGAAGTATAGGTTCAACCTGTACATAAAGTGCGCCATCTGGTTTCTCAGCCGCAACACTAAAATTAGTACAAATTTTTAGAACAATTAATAACGTTCAATATTACATTTACTTACTTGTCTTTGTATTTAAACCAGAAATGAAATGTACCAGAAATCTTCAACTCCAATTCACTATAAATATCGGTATCAACTATATGTGCTGATTTATAATTCTCGCTTGTTATTTGTTTGCCGTTTTTCTTATACCAATGCAAAATTCGTTGAGAAGTGCGCACGAAAACGGCGCCTGGAAAGAAGTGTATTATTTATCGAAAATCTAGAGTTCTAAATTCAACTTACCTTCTTCAGGATAATTTGTATATAAAATAATTTCACGCCCTAGTAAACATTCATCTGGACGCACGCGTAGATTAGAACCACGCTTTAATCTATAAAGTATATTTTCTGCATTGGAACCCTCAGTTATGGGTATGCTACATATATCGTGTACTGCGCTCATTTCTTTTTCTTCCGTCTTAGTTACTTTTACAAAAGAACCCTCCACTTGTTGTAACAACTAAATGAAAAATAGTATTATAATTTTTAAAACATTTTGTCGTACAAGGAGTATAAGAGATAATAACAGAGTTATTGACAATGAATCGACTAACTTTTTCACAAATAATGACATCTCAAGATCAATTACAATGGACAATGTAGACAATTGAAATAAAGTAGATATATATTGTGAGTAATATTAGCATACTGAAAATATTTTATTACACATTTTTTTTAGAACTTATATAAACAGTATACATTTTTAGTACAATGTTATATCATTTATATTAAATAATAAACACTTATATATATTATAAAATGTTCATTAATGTAGTAATTGTGTTGATAGGTTGTTAACCGAAACTCCTGAATGCAAGGATATACTCGTACATATTATCTACTATATACATATTTATATATTTGATATTACCACCACCAAAAAGCTATATTTTCTGTTTATATATTAAGTCATATAAATGTATACATAAAAAAATTAAGAATCATTTCATTATTTACTAAAAGTTTTATGATCTATGGTCTATAAAATCAAAGCCATATATGACCTTATGTATGTTTTGATATATGTTTTGTTTATATAGACATATAATTGTGTATATATAAAATTTAGAAATTCTTACTTCATATTTTACTAAAAATGGTCTATGCTTTATGATCTATGCAATCAAAACCATATATGGTCTTATATGTCAATATAAGTTGCAAAAGCAAATATAGCCTTATAGGTCAATATAAGGTTTACTTCCTTCTTGCTTTTTTTCTTTTACAGTAAAAAATAACAGATATATTGATTTGCTATATCTTAATATGATTATAAGAAATAAGCGACTAAATCAGAAGGATAACAAAAGACAAATCTTAAAAAAGAAATCTTAGGTTCGAATATTTAATTTCATAAAATATGGATTTTTTATAAGGCGAAGTATTTTATTTTTTATTTATTTCTTTTTTAATACAAAATGGTTTTTTTTTTAAATTTTTAACAATTATTTGTTAAAAGAAATTTATACAGTTTCAAACTATATTATAAGTATACTTAATTTACTTAAAGGTGAAATCTTGAACCAGGAACTGAATACTATACTACTTAGCGATTTCTTGTTGGCATCGTATTAATTTCTTGGCAAATTTTTTATATTATAAATATATGAAAATGAATCTCTATGTTTTTTATTGAAAAATAAAAATAGCTATAAGGAAATAAGTGCAATTTGTAAATCCAAATTTTGCTCTTAGTAAATAAATTTTTATAGATATATTAGATTTATTTAGATATACTATATTTATTATTTCACTAATTTATGGCTTAATTACTTATTAAAAAAGGTTAAAAAAGTTTTATAGAAAGATTTTTACAAAATATTTTTAATTTATTTTTTTTATTGTTTTCTTTGCTTCGCTGTTAATTTTTAAATATTTTTTTTTTTTAAATTAATTTGGAATATTATAAATTTTGTTTTTCTCGACTTTAATATATATGGTAATTCATACTGGCGAATTCACAATTAACCCACAATATCCACAATCAAATAATACAACAGACCAAAAATTCGTTAGTGTAATACATCCGTTTAATTCAGCAGAAACAGTTTGAAGAAAATTCAAGACCTCAACTTTTACTTTAACATAAGTACTTAAGAAAAAATCACACTGTGTTTAACTATTAAGTAAAATTCATGTCAATTACTAAACCTTATAACTTCATTCACGCAAACTCAAAGAATACTGGGCTCAGCTCAGAAATACATATACATAAAAAAAATAAAAGTCATATTGTCAGCTAACAGCACCAAAAAGCAAAAAAAATAAAAAAATACCAGCACCAAAAAGACGAAAAAATAAAAAAGCAACATATAATATGAAATAATTTCATAAAAAAATTCTGCAAATTAAATTAAATATATATATATAATAATAAATTAAATAAATAAATATTTGTGTGTTTTAAAATTAATAATATGTATTATAGCAGACTTGGTATAAGCCTACGTATAGATAGTATAAAACAGTCAAAAGCTGATAAAAATATATACAAAAATTTCTATTAGTGGTCTAATTTAACTAAGTTTAATTTAATCTTATAACGAAACTTAATGCTAATAGCTGAAAATACTCTAGATAATCTTCATATTTTGATAATAGTCTAAGGGTCGAAATGAAAGGGTTGTTTGCTATGATATAAAAATACATTTTATATCTAACAGGAATTTTCAAATCATTAACAATATTGGTTATAACCAAACAAATACGCTCTAGTAGGTCCATAAATATGAAAAATATCATTACTATATATATAAAAAAACGAAGCCTTTTGATCGTTTATTAAGAGTGTGAATAGTAGACTGTGTACTATTACCTATCTATAATGCTATCATAATTATGCCTATTAACTAAATTATGCCTATAAATTAAATTATAACATCACAAAAAAATAATTCCCAAATATTTTCCCGGCCTACAGATTTACAGTTACAGTAAAGGCGAGGAAGCTCGCCTTTATATATACCAACCAACCATTGTTCTTCCAAATCCTAGTTCTTTGTTCTGAACCGAACAAAATTGCTCGGTTTTTACTGTATTTAAAAAAAAAGAAAACTAAAAAATATTTGCAAACTAATTTATATGAAAAATATGAAATAAATATTTGATTAGCATAAATAATTTAGATAATAAATTGCAGCAATTAAAGTTCTGATGAACAATGTATGAGGCATAGAAATTAAAGTATCTTAAAAAAGAATTATAGTTAATTTGGACAAGAAGATGTGAGAAAGAGTGGGTGGGGAATTGAAAGACTATACATTTCTGGTTTTTTTTTTGATAGATGCCACTTAAAAGAATAAAATAAATAAATAAAAAAAGAATTTATTGATATTATTATGAACTGAATGTTTTTACTTTTAAAAATACTTTTATTTAGAAAAAAAAAAAATATTTTTATTAATTAAAAATTATTTATTGTAATTAATTTTAAAAATGTTTTATTTTATTAAAAGAAAAGCTTTAGTAAATCGGTAAAGCTAAGTTGATTTTAGTAACTAAATTTAGTAGATTTAGTATTTAGAAATTAATTATTTTTTATAAATAAAATATTTAGTAAATCGGAATAATAATCATAGTTTACTGTTTTTTCTATTGTAAGTAGTGTAGACACATAAAATCTACATCATCCATGTCAATTTGTAACTTATCTTCTCATTTTTTTCATATCAAAAATCACAAGACAGGTTATATTGGTCAGTTGATTTAATTTAAATCAACTTATCTACCTACATATCCATATGATATGATTAACCGATCTTTACCAATTTAGAAATTCTTTTTTTATTTTCATTATATGACAAAATTATTAAATGCTTTATATAAATCTTTTTCCAACATTCAAAAATCCTGTCTAACCACCCACAAAAACCCACGTTAGAAAAGCCTGATTGCTTTAATCCTAGACAGAATATAATTACGTTTATATGAATCTTTTTCCATCATTCTTAAAATGTTGACTAACCACCCACATAAACCCACGTTAGAAACGCCTAATTGCTTTAATCCTAGACAGAATATAATTACGTCGTAAATGCCTCATTTTTCCTATATTTTGTGATCTCATTTGACTTCGTAGTCAACCTTCATCTTGATTTTTTTTTAGTAATCGCACTCAGACTAGAACGCGCAACACTTGAATTAGTTTTCAATGTCATCACAGATCGATTATTAGCCTGAAGTGATTGAAAATAAAGCAAGTGCTCATCATTCCCGCCACACGTGATCATTTTGCTATTTGATATTGAAGAAATGTAAATATGTACGTTGTTATTATTTTTTTAGTACTGGATTGTCTTAACTTCAGATGAAAAAATTATGGCGCCAGTAAATCCAACAACAAATTGAATGCATGTAGGTAAGAAACTACAGTTGCTTGGGTACTTCAAATAAATTTCATTTAGAATTTTAATTTCTTTAAGTATATAATTCTGTTTTAATTCCACTTTAAATGTAATTTTTTTTGGCATTAAATGATATTCATACAATATTTAATACGGTATTTTTATCAGCTTGCACAGCTAGAAATGCATTGTATTCTGTATTGTGTATGTGTGATTTTAATGCAACAATCTCAATCCAACAACAACAAATTGATGTTATTTTACCTCAACCAACATTAAGAATAACACACAAACAATATTAATAATGTTTTATATGTTTTAACTAACATACCTGCGGGGGCTTCACAGCTTGCGGGGGCTTTACAGCTTGCGGAGGCTTTACAACTTGCGGAGGGGGATAATAATGAGTAGGCTTTGGATGTGCTATCCCCATGTTTGTTTGACTTTTAGAAATCTCGCTTTTCGCACTTTTTACATTAACTTCCGCGTTCACATTTGCACTTTGTTTGATTTCCTGATCGATTTCTAATTTCTTCCTACCCTCAACTTTATCGCTTTTCGTTAGTCTCAAATAGGTATCGATCAGCCAACGAAAGAGATGGGTTTGCAATAGAATGCGACAGAGAATATTGAGCTTTTGCTGGGTAAATTTACACAACCAACGAAAACCTTCTTCGAGCATCGCCTATTTTTCTGGAATTATTTCAGTCTAATTGAGAGAGAATACAAAATTGAACTAATTTTGTGCAAACTTCCAGCTCGGCTACAATTTCTTCACTTTATACCAAATTACATATATTTCTTTTCATTTCTATGTATTGTTGAATATTTAATTTGTTTTCGTATTTTAATTAATTTCAGTATGAGTACAAAAATTAACAAAAAAATTAAACAAAAAAATAAAAATAACAAATACGATCTTTTCATTTTTTGTGGTCAAATTTATAGATATTAAATGATTCCATTCGACATACGAATATATGCAAACATAGTACAATACATTTATTATTATTGTTGTTATTTCTATTAATAACAAACATTTTATGGATTAATAAAATATTTTTTTTAATTAAAAATATTATAAAAATATTATTTAATGAAATTGATGCAAGTATCATATGAATATATAAAAGGAAATCAATTATTTTCGTATACATAATTAGTTACGAATTTTACTAAGGAACTAAATTGTTGATTATAATATATATTGATATTTATATATATATGTATAAAATATCAAAGAATATCTCAAATTATATTAAAAACTTTTCAGTATAATTTACTAAAGATGTTGAAAAAGGATATCATTTTATAAAAGACATTAAAGTACCCAATCATAATATTCAAATAAGCTTTAAACCTATATGAGTTCCATTCATATACAGGAAATCTAATTTTTTTCGCATATATAACTTTATTTTGGACCAAAATTGTTAAAAAATATCTACACATATGTTAAGATATCAAAAAATATCTCAAACTATTACGGATAATTTTATACTATTATGGATTATAATGGATAATGGAAATTTTATGATTATAAAATTTTCAATATCGTTTACTAAAATTATGGAAAAAAGGTGTTGATATGGAGATGTCTGAGTTGGTGATTCATCATCTTAACTCTATTATATTTGTAGACAGTTTTAGGTCACACTAAGAATAACTGAATACGGGACTTTATAATATGATGGATCTGATGTCTTTGTATCTGCCTGTGTTTATCAGATTTCGTTGTATTTTTAGGTTGCTGAGTGTTGGATTATTGTGACAGTAAATTATATTGAACAGTTTCAGTGCACGATCTTTAATATATTTTTCAACTGAATGACTCTCAAATCTCTGTGAATAACCCGCTCCTCTTACGTACCATGGGGTGTTAAACAGTTTTCTTAAGGCGATATTTTGCCCTCATTGAAGAATTAAAACAAAAAAAACGATGTCATTTTACAAAAGACATTAAAGAATCCCCTAATGTTATTTAAATGAATGTTGAACCTATGTGAGTCCCATGTTTATAAAGAAAAAAAATTTGATTTCTCTTAATAAATTAATTTTGGACCACTATTGTTGAAAATTTATTATTTATTATATTTCAAAAAAAAGCTTAAATAGGCTTAATAAGAATATATGTTCTATTATTTATATATTGAAAACAAATCATTATAATGATTTACTGAAATAATTAAGACAAACATCAAACACATTAACTTCAAGTCCAAATAAAATATTTCAACATTTTTAACAACTAAACTAATTTTTAAAAAAATATTAAATTAAGGTTAAGTAAATTAATATCGATTTTTGGTATCACAACAGATTTTTGAACCTATGTGGGTCACAGTACTATAAAGGTAGATGC